GATTCATGTATTTGCATGTTTCTCATGATACAATTTATGATGCCAGCAAGTCAGAATGATCTTAAGTTTCTAAAATACAGAACTAGCTGGGCATATCAGAGTCTTTTGCATTTTGTAATAATGTGCTATTAAAATGTTCTGGGAAAAATGCTTAATGGTGTAGGAAGCGACTATGATATATTTTTTAAGTGAGACACTGCACGCATGGCGCTGTCGGTACTATGACTCCAACAGCATACTTAAGCATGTGTGTATAATTAAGGTGCCCAGGCAGCAGGGTAACTGAAGAGCTCAATTGCCAGTTGAAAGGTGACCGTCCCAACCCAGTAACTGTAACCCCTCTGCTGGAAAGACATGGGACAAACATCTTTTGTGAAGATTGTACAGCCTTGGAGAGGAGCTTTGCTGGCCTAGTGGGGAAGGAAGTGCACAAACAATCCAAAGGCAGTTCGTTTCAATTTACCAGCTTCTCTGTAGGTGAAAGATGGACAGTCCCCTTCTAGGCAATATATAGTCTCTGAAAAACTGCTGGAGGGTCAGCTCGGACTCCACGGAGTGAATAGCAGCCTTAGAAACTATGGGGACTTTCGACTCTGTTTCACAGAATCTCCGTAAGCATTTTCTCGAGAGTGGTGGGTTGGTTTGGTTTCCCACCCCCTTCGTTATATAATTAGTGAGAGAGAGAAAAAAAAGTAGAAGTGTTAACAGAACTTTTTCGTGGGAAGATCATGTATGACTTTTCATTTTGATGTTTTTTGGTTTTTTTTTTTACTATGAAATTCCTGTATTTAAGTTTTATTGTTTCATCCCAAAGTGTCTTTAAAAATTTTTATTAATTTTAATGAACATTTACAGAGATTTTAGATTTCCATTCATTCACGGTTGCACTTTTCTTCCTGTCCACTCCTTACCCCCAGTTCGCACTTCTCTTTGAAAAGCAAAAGAAAAATTCTTTCATTAGTATAAAATCCCTCCCCCTGAGTGCATTCCACCATGCAACCTACATTCTGGACTCTTGTCATAACCATAATACCCTGTCATTTTAAACAGTTCTCCCCCTCATCTGTTTAAATGCAATATACATAATTTATCCAATCTTTCTCAGTCTCACGACAACCCTGACGTCAGTCTTGTTCTACAACAGTGGCACTATGTGGTATTTGTCCTTTTGTGACTGAGATACTTCACTCAGCATAACGTCCTCCAGGGTCACCCATTCTGAATAATATTTCATGAGTTCCTTGTTTTTCAGTGCAGCATTGTATACCATTGTGTGAATATGCCAGAGCTTCTCTATCCATTTGTTGATGGGAACTTAGGTTGTTTCCAAATTTTTTTTTTAAAAAAACAATTACTTTATTGATTTCTTACAACCACGTACTGCCAACTAGCTTTACTTCCATCATGCATTGTTAAAAATAAAAGACCATTTTCTTGGTTATTTTCAATTTATGCTTTTAGCAATTAACAAAAAAAAAGAACTTAAAATGCACCTTAATTATGTAAGCTGGTATGTTGTGGTGAGGTGTGTTTTTTTTTAAATTGAAAAGGACTTTATTTTTACTTTTTTTTTCATTGTATTATTAATGATCTTTTAATGAAACATTTATTTTTCTATAGCATATTCTTTCCATCTCATACATAGGGTCGCTATGAGTCGCAGGCGACTCGACGGCACATAACAACAACAACAACAACATTCCATTTAATGATTTTTTATTTCTTGTTTTCTATGGCCTTGTTGTTTGCTGTTATGTGGGGTCAAGTCACCTACAAGTCATGGAGACCCTATGTACAACAGCCCTAAACTCTATTCTATCTTGTGCCAATCTTACTGTCTCTGACACACCTTCTGCCATTATCCCAGTCTCTGAATCAATCCATCTTACTCTTATGGCCTACAGGGCACTTAACAACGAGTGGGTAGGCCATTGTACTGCTAATTCAAAGGTGGTGCCTCTGCAGATTCAAATTCACCAGTTCCTGAGGGAGATTGATGGGTGGTTTCCTCCCATGTGATTTACAGCCTCTGAAAACCTGTTCAAAGGTCACCTATGAGGTGGTTCTGAAGCAACAATGAGTGAGTATGAGTTAAATCTTCAAGACATTCTACAGTGATTGATCATTGGGTAATCAGAAAACAATTCCATTATTTACAGGATTTATGACATACTTTGGACATGTCTCAAGGAGGGACCAGTCCTTGGAGAGGGACATCATGCTTTGGAGGATGGAGGAACAACACAAAAGAGGTAGACCCTGGATGAGATAGATTGATTCAATGACTGGGGTAATGGGGGTAGGTGTGTCAGAAGCAATAAGATTGGCACAGGATAGAGCAGAGTTTAGGGCTGTTGCACATAGGTTCACTATAAGTCACAAGCAAATCAACTGGCACGTAACAACATCAATATAAAAAGACTTTTATTACTTTGCTGTTATAAGGGATGAATATTTAATTTTGTTGAACTCATGACCTATCTTGTTCAGTGAAACAAAATACGTCTTTCTTTTCAGTTTGTCAGTGGCAAGATATTATTAAACTACTGTTTACTTCAAAATTTAAGTGAAAATATCAGACTAGAGACTAAGGTGTACCTGATCCAGGCCATGGTCTTTGCAATTACTTGTATGCATCAGGGAGGTGGACAATGACTAAGGATAACAGAAGAAGAATTGATGACTTTGAGTGCTGGTGCTGGTGAAGAGTACTGAACATGCCATGGACTGCCAAGAGAACAAATAGATTTATCTTGAAGAGAGTGAAACCAAGTTGCACCTTGAAGGCAAGGATTTTGAAGCTCTGTCTCACATACTTTGGGCATTTTGCCAGTAGGGACCAGTCCTTGGAGAAGAACATTATGCTTGGAAGGATAGAGGGATAGTGGAAGAAAGGAAGACTCTGGAGGAGATGTTACACAGTAACCAGGGTAAAGGGGGTAGGTGTGTCAGAGATAGTGAGATTGTCTTAGGATAGGACAGAAGTCAGAGCTACTGTACATAGGGTGGCTGAGTCACAGTCAACTCAATGGCACATAACAACAACATGTTCATACTGAAGGCTGTAGGGTGGAGTGGACTTGGGGGAAGAAACTGTTTAGCAATGAAAGAGTTTTTCTTTTACTTTTCAAAGAGATGAGAGAACTAGGGGGAAGGGATGGACAGGGAGAAAAGTTCAACAATGAATGAATGAAAAGACAGGGAGAAAAGTGCAACAATGAATGAATGAAAAGCCAAAGTCTCTGTAAACTTTCGTTAAAATTGATAAAAATTAAAAAAATAATCAGAATCTGAGTGTTATTCACCATGACAAAAACACAGAAATAGCCTAAGCATCTAACCACAATCAAATGGATTGTGAAATTGTAGTACTTTCACATGATGGAATACTATGCAGCACTCAGGAGTAATAATTTCAAAAATTACTACATGACTTGGGAGAAACTGGAGAGCATTGTGCTGAGTGGACTAACTCAGTCTCATAAAGACAAATTCTGCAGAAAACCATTATTTTTAAAATAGAAGGATAGAACTGGTATTAAAGTTTCTATAAAAATAGAACTAGTAAGATGTGTATGGGGGCTCAAGGGGGGAAGAGGTGGGAGCAGAGGGGTGAGGGTAGGCAGGAGGGAGAGATCGGGGTCTCACAACTTAGTGGGTGGAGGGAGATGAGGTAAAGGAAATGGGAAAGATCTCACAGGGATCTGGAAAGAGGATAGTGGTGGGAATGGTTCAATGGTGATTAATTTTGTAAAACACAATGAATGGGAATGATTGTATGAAACACAATGTGAATGAGGGATAGTGTGAAACGCATGTATAAGATCTTTGTATGTAAACGGACATAAACCAAACCTAAAAAAAACCAACAAACAAAAGCAAACCCACAAAACCCAAATATTAGAAAAATAGAATCTGCTTTAAAAATTGAAGAATAACTGCAAATAATCAAATCCTTGCAGGCAAATTATTTATTTTAAGTAACTGACTTTGCTGAGTTTTAATCAAATAGTAACAATTTAGAGATACAGACATACATATATAAGAATATATATATATTTATATATTTGAGACAGTAAGGCATACATTATGATATATATTCTCTTTACCACAAAATATATGTACTTCTCAGATACAAAATAAAGCTAATATCTAAGACCAGAGTAACACCTTTACAAGTAGTTTAACGTTCATGCTTGATGTCAATAATACCATGATATAAGTCAGGTTCTAAGTGCAATTCTTTGGCAGTGCAAATCTGTAAGACACTGGTTGAGCTTCACAAAAGGTTTTGAAAATTGACAACTACAGCTTGGCAAATCTTTGCACAAAATGGGCCATGGCTGGTACACGTGGACCACAGTTTCTACATGGTTAAAACAGACACAAAACTTCTCTATTGCCCTTTGGAAGCTGGGCAGTTCAATCCTGAGCTCTCCTGTTGCTCTGCTCCTCTGAAGCCTTTACCTAATCTAGATACCTTGACACAGGAAAAAAAAGAATTGGACTACAACAAACTGGGGAGATTGTCTTTCTGGTAGTAATCTTCCCAATGGAGACATTCTTCCAGCTGCTGACATCTTCCATTGTAATGCAAACCCCAAACCTAATTCATTGTTGGGGAGCTGTTTATGACTCACAGCATGCTTATAGAGCAGAATAGACTGTTTCCCTGGATTTCCAGGACTGTAAACCTTTCAAGAATCAGATTACTGCATAGTTCTCCCTTGGAGCCACTGGTAGGTTCGAACCACCGATGTTTTGGTTAGACGTTAAGGGTCTTAAACAGTATGCCACCAGGATCACTGTAAAATGTGGCTTTGCTTTGTTGCAAAAAAAAGCTTTTGTTCTGAGCTTTTGGGGGAAAGAATCCGTTCCATTCATATAATTTGTTTTGTCCTTAAATTCTGAAAAAAGACCTAATGTGCATTTGGAAGTGACGTATTTTGGAGGAATGTTTATCTGTTTCCTTTATAGGCTTGTGCCCCAGGCAGGCACAGTCACTCGATCTCAAAACACGGGGCCGACTTCTTGGTGGAGGAGCTCGCGTTATCCGAGGGGCGGTAGGAAAGCGTGCTCATTTTTGTGGATAGGCTGGGGTGGGATTTTTTCTTTGGAGGAATGTATTTCAAAAGCTGGAGAATATATTTTTTAAATTTTTTCCCCAGAAAGCCGTAAAAAAAGGGATTGAGGCAATTGTTAAAGTAAGCTATGCAGATGGTGATGGGCATGGCGGTGTCCACGATATCTGCAATGTGGCAGTCATGAATGATGCCCAGCTGAATCAAGACATCCAGGAAGGTAAAGATTTGGTGCGGAACCCAGGAAAAGAAAAAGAAAAGCACAATCGCCATAATGATTTTAAAAATATCATCGTTTCTTGGCTTGTTTTTCTGAATTTCATATGCCTTCTTGAGGGTTTTCCAAATCAGAGTGTAACTGGTTAGAATGATCAAGAAGGGGAGTAAGAAGCCCAGGATGTTCTTGGTGAGGCCCAGCCCGATGGGAAGGGTCGAGTTTTGGGATTCATAATGGAAGCCACAAACGGTGATATTCGTGTTCTCGATGAAAAACACATTGCGATGGATGATTGATGGCAAACTGGCCAAAGCAGCCAGGAACCAAATAATGATGCAGGTGATTTTGGCGACCAGCATTGTGCGCCGGAGGCGGGACTTCATTGGGTGAACAATGGCCAGGTAGCGGTCAATGCTCAGACAGGTGAGTAGGAACACACTGGCGTACAGGTTGAAACTGACACTCGCTGAAGCAATTTTACACAGGTAGGTGCCAAAGGGCCAGCGGTATTCCATAGCGGTGTAGACAGCCCACAGAGGCAAAGTGAGTAAAAAGCATATGTCAGCCAGGGCCAGGTTCAAAAGGAACACACTGGCCACAGTCTTCAGTTTCATATAAAAGTAAATGACAATCACCACCAAACTGTTCCCGAATATGCCCACCACAAAGATGATGCTGTACAAGGTAGGGATCATGATAAAGATGTAATTGTGTCTTCCAGCTTTGGGGCAGTCATCTTGGATCCTTTTAATACCGTCGTCAGAAACGTTGAAGAACATTTTGATCTCCTGGCCCGGATTAGTTCCAGATACTCTGACAAATGCACCTGGTGGATATAAAAAAAAGGTCAGGAAATTAACTTCTGGTTGTGAGCAAACAAATACTTTTTATTTTATGTGTGTGTGTGCCATCAAATAGGATCTGACTGGTACAGGAGGAGATTGCAACTCCTTCTCCAGCAGAACATCTGGTGGACAAAAAATTTTCTTTTTAAATCATAAATCCAGTTAACTCAAACTTCAGAAAAAAATTTTTTTTCCTTTCTAAAGTAAATCTGTGAACTAATGAAGGCCAATATTTCCTTTTTCCCGCCTAGAAGCATTGTTTTTGTTATTTGAAAGATGAATAAACCTATCCATGTCCTATGCATTATTTTTCCAAGTAAATCCTAGCTTCCAAAATGATGAAAATACATAATTTAAACCTGAATTAGTTATTCAGAAAGAAGACTGTTTTTTCCTGAGGTCATTAAGGCTAATTAATTTTATCTTTAATCTCAGCATTTTTAACCATTCCTTTTATCTCAAGATACTAATTTAGGCCTAGAAGAATCATTAGCATTTTCATTTCCATGGTTGCAAGATCAGAATAGATGGAGGGTCAGTGATCAAGAGGAAGACCCTTAACAAGATGGATTGACAAGGAACTCTGAAGAGTGCGGGTGGTAGGGAGCTCTGGTGGTTGAGTGATAAGAAGCTGCACTGCAATCCCAGAGGTACACGGTTCGAATCCACCATATGTTCTGCTGGAGAAGGAGGGCTAATCACTTCCTATACCAGTCAGATCTGATTTGACGGTACACACACTACCAATGGTGATGAGGATAACACAGGAAATGTGAAGAGCCGTTGTTCTCAGGGTTGCTGTAAGTCATAGCTGACTCAATGGAACTTAACAACAACTCATGTTACTGAGTGTCTTGGGTTGAATTGTGTCCTCCCCCAAATACATGCATGTGGTGATATAATGTGGAAGCTCTATAATGATCCCCAGGATCTGATAAACCAAATACTTGTAAGAGGATTAAAAGTGGAAGGCAACACCTCTTAATTGTATGGCGTGAAGGAAACTTTCTCTGGGTACAGCTTATAAAAAGTGATCTTGGGTGACAGTATCACTAAGAAATAATCAGCACAAGTGGAGAACAGCCTGTCCTGCCTCATGTGCCCGCATTGGGAACCTCCTTGACCTTAGGGAACGCCAGGATCTAAGGAGATCGCCAAGGAATTGACGATGGAAAAGAAAAGAAGAACAAACAAGGCGTTTCCATCCAAACTGGCAACTGATGATGAAAAAACTGAGGCCTTTAATTCAAACTGACAGAGAGAAGGCCTTCTCTTAGAGGTGACACCTAAGAATTTGTCCCTATAGCTTCCTAACCTGTAAAGTAATAAAAATCTTTCTTAGAGCCGTCCAGCTGTGGTCACTGCTGTAGCAACACTTGATAACTAAGATACTGAGAAACTGACCATCATGGGAATAATTTAAGTGGGGCGCTGGGCAGACTGGCGAGTGGTACTTTCTCCACAGTTTTCCAGCCCTTCCTGAACAGTAGCATTTATTCTTTACCTTCTAAATAAGTCTTGAGCAAAAGCGTCTGAATCTCAGCTTTCATGCCTCTCAGCCATTTCTGGTGATAACTCTGAGGTTAACCTCACTCCTTTGACAAGAATGTCAAAAGGAATATATTCTTAAGTAGGATTATCAATGAAAAATGCTTTTGGTGAGGACTTAACGGAGCAGTGTTCTTTAGGATTTTTAGGAAGAATGAAATGCTTAGGACTGAGCTCCACGAACAGTTCTGTAAATATTTGCTCCAATACTTTACATAACCAACAAGTAAACGACTCATTCTCGGAACTGAGGAAATCGGTGCATTCTAGCCTAGATAAGAGTCCATCAGGAAGCCCTGGGAAGGAGGCCATGGTGCTGGAAGGTGTTGTGTCAGATGGGACTGGTCATGCTCTGCTAGCAGGGGAAGGTCACACTAGGCCCAGGTGGGACAGCCAGGCAGGGCAGCGGTGGCAGACATGTATATCTCATTACTAAAAGGAGCAAGTCTCTGAATGAGCCTGGCTGTGCACGCCACGTGTTGTAATGTGTCTTAGGAAAGGAAAGGAGTAAGAAAAGAAATAACACTGGCTGCTCAGGGAGGTTGTGCGTGGCAGTTGGGGGTGTGTGACACCTGCATCCAGCGCACTATCTATCTGGGTGTGAAGAGGTTCTGTTCTCTCTCCACTAGGATGAAGTTCTCACCAGCTTTGAGGAAATCACACGAGGGGAGGAAAAGGGTCTTAAATGGCAGCTATTCTCCCAATCAAATTTTTGGTTCTATATCCTCATTATAATTTTCTTTTGTATGCAGCCTTGCATACTTTAAATCTCTGTCTTCTCCTTTCATTCATGGAGACATTAGTAACCACTAATAGGCATTGTCCATTTCAAATGTCACAGTCTGTGGCCAACTGGCACTCCTGTGGCACTGAAGGCACATTTAGTTGGCACTGCGATGGTCTTAGAATTGATCTGCATTCCACGATGTTGTGTCTGTTCCATGAGGGCAGAGCTGACTTTGACACATTTTGTTTACTAGTTTTGTATCTGGCAAACTGCAGGAGGCAGCTGATCAATGCCTAACGAGTTAGAGTGGAGTGGAGACATGAACAAGTGAATAATGTAAGAGCAATGACTACAGAGTGGAGACTAACTTCTAAGGGACATAGAAAGTCAATATATATCATTCTCTGAAGAACTGCATAGAAAAATGCCAACCCTAACCTGAGTATCACCCTGAATAAGAAAAGCAAACAAAGCAAAGGGGCAAGAAATGAAGAAGCAAACCCCTCTCAGTACTTTTAGAATTTAGTGCTTTAGAAAGCCGAAGATGAAAAGGAATAATACAAAACAAGTGAGGGCTAGGTTCTCAGGGGAAACTCATCCGCTAGCTTCTGCCATCTACAGAATCTGACTTCTAGTGACCCTCTGTGGTTTCTGAGGCTCTCACAGGGGAGACTGCCTATCTTTCCCTCAAGGAGCCACTGGTGGATTTGAACTGGTGACCCCACACTTACCAACCACAAGCTCTCAGGGAAGTGAGATCTATTTCTTTCTTACTTAGAGGGATTAATTTGTACTTTGTTGGTTTTCGAGTCATTTTCATGTAAACTCATTGCTGTCTTATTGGATGCAACTCATAACTGACACTTCAGGATGTTTTCAGAGACTGTAAATGTCAGGGGGAGAAGACTGCTCATCTTTCTCCTGCCTTTGGGCTGACAGCACAACCCCTTCCTTACCCATTGTTCTTGTTGTTAAGTGCCGTCAAGTCGTAGATGACTCATAGCGACCCTATGAACAAAAGTCCTCAACTCTTGTGTGACTTTCAGCCTTTTTCCAGGTTCATAAGGTTTCTGGAGACAAGCTATTACAGAAATGGATGCCACTCCTGCTTCCAAGTTAGGCCACGCCAATTTACAAGTATAGATTGACTTGTAGAAACAAATATTCTCTATTAAAAGTTTATGCTTTTTCAAAAGTTGTTAGATCTAGATGTTGTTTTTTCCCCTCTCTCTGTGTTAATGTAATTCTCTTGACAGCCTTCTAACATCTAGTTGAGGTAATCTGAATTTTTCCTAAGAACAGATTGGAACCTTCAAGGTTAAAGAACCTCACAGGTGATAAGGGACCTGAGTGAACTCCGGAACTGAGAATGAAGGATTGGGTAAATATTTGGTTCCATATGGGCACACAGCAGTAAAAGATAAGAAGCATCAGCCTGATGTGTTAGATTCCATGGCCTGCCCCTGCGCTCTCCCAGCAGGGAGGAAAGGTCCTGTCTTCCAGCTTTCTCCCTTCAACTTACTTCGAGTGCCCACAGCTCAGGCTGGTTTTATGAATTCTGTTCCACCGTGAGTAGCATTCTATTGAGTACTCTGGAACCACTAACATCATTCATAACAAAATTAATGGAGAGAAGTTCTACATTTGAACAGGCCAGTTAACAAATATAGTTTTGGCCTCTCAGTCGTTCATTAGCTGGGGGCGGTCTCTTCTGTCTCCATTGATTGAGACTGGCTCATAATTCCTATCGTCTCACATACTTTGGGCCTGTTAGCAGGAGGCAATGGTACCTGGAGAAGGAAGTCATGGTTAGTAAAATGGAGAGTTAGTGAAAGAGAGGAAGACTCTCAATTAGATAGAGTAACAAACTGGCTGTGGCATTGGCCTTGAGTGTGGCAATGACTGAGAAGACAGCTTAGGATTGGGCAGTGAGTAGTTAGTTCAGTTTTACTGTAGATCATTGTCATGATTCAGAGCTGACTTCTAACAACAATAATTACTGGTATACTCAAAGTTACTTAGAATAGCTAAGGAGCATTCCTGGTGGTCTAGTAGATAAAGAGTTATGCCGCCAACCCAAAGGCAAATAGTTCGAATCCACCAGTTGCTTCATGGGTGAAAGATGGGCAATCTCCTCCAGTGCTATTTACAGGCTTTGGAAATCTGCTCAAAGGCCAGTTGTAAATTGGTTTATGAGTTTTAGTTTTTTGCTGTTTGTTTTTTAATGTTTGTCACCTACCTTAGGTTGATGATGAGTGAATTAATTAGAAAGGGTAAGATTCTTTTCCCTGTGAAGTCTAAATGAATCCTGCTGTGTTGATCCTTGATTCTTCCACCTGAAAGACAGAGAGATGTGATCTTTTAGAAAAAAACAGATTTGTGACTCTCAGCAAGCAGTTCCATGCATTTAATCTCTAAGGTTTGTAGGAAGGAAAAACACTGATAAAGCCCGCAGAAGATTCCACCCTAATCCTATTACAAGTCTTGCTGTATTGTCTACTCATCTCTATGTCTCACCTAAATTCCATAATATCACTTTCCTTTTTGTGAAGAGATGAACTTTAACTTCCTCATCAGAAAGAAAAGATTCTAATTGCACACCTTTGTTAGAATTAGATTATATGGAAGGACTGGACCTGCCAAACAGTAAGAATTGATG